TTAGTCTTTTCAGTTGTTTTCCCACTTTTTTTCTGTTTCAAAATCAAACACCAGTTTATGAGAAGATTATCTTCTTTTTTTAACAGGCAGATAAAGTTTTACATTGGAACTGGCTAATTTGTCAATTGTTTGTTACAAATGTTCGTATTTTAATATTAAAAAATGTTTTTGCCCAAAACATATGTGCACTACATGTCAGTAAAAATGCTATGCAAATATTGCTGTCCTTGAATGCTGAGTAAACACTGACAAAGCACTGATTGTATCTCTTGTACTTTATCAACGCAGTATCTAAAAACTTTGCACCGTAGTGGTTAAAATCTCATTCTAATAAGAGTTAAAAGGGCATTCGGTTATTAGGTTTACAGGATTATTGAATTATGGTTAATGGTTGGTATAATTTTTTTTAAACATTATCTGCCAATTACATCTGCCACCCTTCTCCAAATCTGTGCCCCTACCTGGCTCCCCCAACAAGAATTTTCTAGACACGCCACTGCCTATATGGTGACTCCCCCAATAACTTAATACAGCCTCACCTTTTGTCTGAAGTAACATGTTACATTTTCCATTAGACTCCCCTCCCTGAAAGCCCACTTTCGATTGATTAGCTACCATTTTCTTATCAGAACCCAGTGCTTGAAAGCCCCGCCTCCTCATGTCTGCAGTGACCATATAAGGAAATCTGTGCCAAACTGACATAATCTTAGCACAAAACTGGAAACAAACATTGCAAATTAAGCTAACAGGGGTTGCATTTACACATACTGAGCTAATTATTTCGAAATCTAGTCACATTTCAGATGAGTATCCAATACAAAACAGAAAAAAGCAAGAGTGCAGTAGGTACAATTTAAATTAATAAAAGTGTGTGAAGAAGTTGAATTAGGTGAAAACACCTTTAGATCATTAACACACATGATATGCAGTATTGTTTACAGACAATGTTTCAAGAATACAAGATATTACAGCGTATTCGTGCGAAGGACAGATTTCACATGTTCTGTTTATAATCTAATGAGTTTGACAAGTAAAACACTGAAGAATACATATACTAAACTAGAGATGGCACGATACCACTTTTTTATGTCCGATACCGATATCATAAATTTGGATATCTGCCGATACCGATATGAATGCGATATAGTGTGTTTTTTAATCAATAAAACAGTTTTTTAATATCTTGCTGCTTTTTGTATAAGTTCATACTTAAGTTAAAACCAAAACAAAACACTAAAGCTATTCTGTTATACCTGTATGCAAAAAACACACTGCACCCAAAAAATTTCATAGTTCAGCAACACTGATCAATCTAATAAAATTAAATCTACTCCATCCTCCCTATTCTGGTATTTTAAAGAGTAAGCATCCTAACTAATCGAGCTCTAAAACTCCCAGCAAAAAAAAAAAAAAGGGAACCCCCCACCCCCCCCTCCACCTCATGATGCTTAATCGATGTAATCAACTTTAATTTGATGCAGTGTGAAAAAATGCACAGAAATCAATTATTTTTCAAGAATAATTAAATAGATTCAACATCTTTCTTCAACAGAACTGCAGAGATGGTACCTTCCCAAAGGAAAAAGTACTATAGCTTACTAGGGTATATTAGACTTAATAGTTACTATATACAGTAATGGACTTCTATATATTTTACACAAGATTAAAACTTTGGGTGTAAGATTCAGATAATTAATTATTAAAAGCTCGACATTTTAAATGAGAATAAGAAAGAAAAGTATGTCTTTGTGCCCCCTTTTCCCTGTTCATGCCCTATCGGCCCCCCTGGCTAAACTTTGCTAGATCCGCCCCTGCACAGTTACCAGCGTCAGCTACGTAGAAAAAGATCCTGGTGTAGAAAGTAATATTAAATAAATTCTAAGCTTAAACGTGCTGCTGTTGCTCAGCCGCTGGTTTCCTCTTTCTGGCACGAAGTGGGCCAAAAACAAACAAGAGAGACGGACTCACGACAGAAAAGCCGATCAGCTGATCATTGATCAGTTTCATGATTGAAGTAGCAGCAGGAGAGAGAGAGAGAGGCAGTCGCTCCATACATCGGTTGATAAGCTTAACGTGGGAATGCTTTACAAACATTCAGAGATGAACTTACACACTTGCTTTACTTCTCTCTGGGATCACTTCCTCGGAGATGAAATGCTGGTTTGGTAGCGAGGCTACAAATACGCAACCAGACCACCGACAGGTCTCACAGGCCACAGCCCCTCTATCACGTGATGCATACTCCTCCAAAGTGCTACGGTTATGAGGTGAGTTACGGCGTGTCGCAAGTTTTGTGAGGTACTTTTTTGATATTTAATGGATCGATTACATTTTTTATTTCTCTCCGATATGCGATCCAGTAATTTACGTCAGTATCGGACCGAGACTGATACGTAATATCGGATCGGTCCATCTCTATACTAAACATAAACTTCAGATTATAAATCATCATACAAACCTCCAGTGGGATGTTCCACGCGATAAATACATTTTTCTTGTATTCATCTAACCAGATATCTGCCACCCTTAGAGCATTTCTTCTCATGGCAGGGCTGAGATCAGGTGCATATGGTTTATGGGCCCTCTCGATGTGGGCTATCCTCGAACAGGGCACAACCTCTATACTTCCTCCGCACAACCAAACCTGAGTAGACACAGATCAGACGGCCGTGATCGGCAAATCTTCAATCTTAAATAGTTTAAAAGCGTGGACTATAATATTATTACTAATAACTTACACGAATTCCAAGTTCAACATTTTCCCCACCATAAACTGTCATCCCACCATCCAGCCCACCAATTTCTCCAAGAAAAGCTCTGTCTGCTGCAAAGATTCCCATAACAGAGGGACTCCTGTGCAAAAACCAACACATGAGTTTTTTTCCCCAACAATTCTCTACCTATATTGTCTGCAATCCAATGTCACTTGAGATACATTTTGTGATGCTGTCTCTATCGCCTCTTTGCTTGCACGCTTCACGTACTTCCCCGGTTGTGATTCATCCATCTTCTTTACCCACTCAGAGCTAAAGGGCTCGTATGTGCACCACATTGCCCAGTCAAAGCCATGAGAAAATGGGATATATCTTTCCACGTGTAGGTCATCAAAATGGACCTTATCAAAGACAGGGGACACTACAACAGTCCTGTCAGCTTTGATCCTGTCCAGCAAAGGTTCTGCCCTGCAGAAGAGGAACAAATGAGACACCAAGAGAACTTTCCAGTATGTCATTTTTCAGTTCATAAGATTTCATCCAAAATTACTGTTTTTATCTGAACTTCAAGCGCTAGCAAAATAAATAACTCATTAAATAAGGAGGGAAACAGGTACTTGATTGGTGGAGGATGTGTTCCTCGACTGCCTTCCTACTTTACTCTTGTTTTCCTGGGGGGAAAAAAACAAACCATAAAGTTAAAACATGTACTTACCATCCTTCTGTGGCTTCAATATGGGCATCTAAAATGGCCACAACGTCAGCTGTGGCATGCTCCCATCCGGATATCCGGGACTGTGATAAGCCCATTTGTTGCGTATGTCTCACTTTCTTCAATAATCCGGGCATCTCTTTGTTAATTTGATCTATGTAGTCTTGTAAGGGTTTTCCAAGGTCATCTGGAATTGAAATAGAGATCTGTGACAAAGCTGATGTAGTTCAAAATACTGAGTGACCTTAGCGAGGACTATCTTTGTAAGCTTACTGTAATTGCTGTAGTCATCCACCAGAATGATTTCTTTCAGCAGCTTCTTTGGAGTGTGGGTGATTATACTTTGTATTGCTCTCTTAATGACAGACAGGGCCTCATTTATGTAGATGAGTATCACACTGATGCTCGGCAGATCTTTGGCATATTTCTTTGCCAGACATCTAAACGGCGTGAGATGGTGTGTATTAGATTAATGTTTTAGTAAGCTCAAACAGACCATTAGCCCAGCCCCGTTTTTCGAGGTTTACTTGGGAGTAGTGAGATAGTTTTAAGCTCTTCTAGGACAAAGGATGACAACATTGGAATTTGCAGCAGAAAATAAATAAATAACTAAAAATACTTGACCGTCATGGATCTCATTAACAAAATGTACCTGCTGTCTCTTGTGTCTTGAAGCTTCCTGTCAAGTGGCAGCTGGTTACTCAGGAAAGCATTGTATCCATAAATCTGAAACAGACCTTCAGCTTCCTTCTGCTCTTGTTCTGTCAGGCCATCGCCCCACTTGGTAAACAGGACGGAGTTTGGGTATAACTTTGGCATAATGATCTTCTCTTCTTCTTTGTCCACATTTTGTAAAATGGAATTTGTGAAATTCTTTTGACCTAAAACCTCGGTTAGCTTTGCTTTTGTGGAGGTTAAAAAACAGAAGGATGAGAACTGTTATTCATTGTTGGGGCAAAAGAAGAAGAAATTGGCTAACAGAATTGTTTTGACTTATCAAGTGCTCTTCAAAAACTCGTCACACAGATCAAATCTAGCATGCATCTTTCCCCCTTTGGGTTCCTAACATTGAAAAAGAAAAAAAATGTACAACACCACCTTCATTATGGCCATATTTATATTTATCTTATCTTATTTGTTATGATTAAATACAACAACCAAAACATGAGCAGGGTAAAGCAATGTCTATAAAAATGAAAAATGGATGAATACGCTTGAAGAGCAATGCCATATGAGATGGACCGAGCTGTGTTTAACAGCAACATTCGCCAAGAAAACTATACACAGGAAACCTTAGTGGACAATTCTTTTTTTATGCAATGCAATAAAGAAAAAGCATTGAAAGGAGATTTCTCATTGGTTGCAACCCTTATAGTTAGCAGTCTTGGCTTGCTCTGTCTCATTCAGTTCTGCTTTCAGGTAATGGTAGCAGTGGTGGCGATGTAGAATCCCAATAGCCTTTTGCTCTACACTGGAAGAACATCCTCCAGACCAACCACCAACCAACACCACCATGACTTAACAGAGCAACTATTCATAAAAAGAGAGCCATGAGATTGGGAGTACACATTTACTTTTGACACACATACATTTCTTGTGAATGGTGGATTTTTACAATGTGATAGCTAATAATAGGTTAAGCTATTTCACTGAAGGGTAACTTTATCAATAATGTTGAAAAGAAGTCAGCGTGTGAGAATGTGAACTTTGAAACTGATACTCACTCAGTTTGTTTAGAGTCTGTTCGATCCTCTCCAGTTTTCTCTTTAAAAGTTCTTGATCAGCTACTCCCTCAGGAATAGATTTTCTGGGTGTACAACTTCTATTTGTGTAGATGATGAAAATGTATAGTGACAACAGAAATGATCCGATTATTCCAACTCTTCGTATGTTTACCTTCATTGTGGTTTCTCACAGAGGATCACAGTGTAATTGTGTCCTCTGCAGCATTTCAGCTTTCTGTGTCCGTTTGAACAGGCTTTAAAACTCAAGCTGTATAATAAAGCATATCTTATCTTAAAGTTTAAACATTTCTGAAAGAAAAAAAACTCACACAGCTATTAAATAGCATTTTACTGACGTAAAGGTGCAGAGGTGATGCCAAAAACCGTTATCAGGCTAACAATAAAGGTTTCAAAGTACACACAGTAAATTTCATGTGCTTGTAAAACTTACTCAGCCTCCTTTCTTTTACATGAATTCACTGTGGTTGTAATTGATATAAAAATATTAGCACATTTAGGATAAATGACAGCCTTGAAGCATTAAATATTACAGATAAGATTATGCTTGTTGTCCATTTCTATTTTTCTCTCTTCTTTCTCTCAACCAAAAGTTGAACACAGTAAAGCAATGTGTGTGTGGTGTGTGAAAATAAAAAGAAAGGTCAGATGGTTATTGTAATAGCACCTCAGTGAAGGACGAACACCTGGAAGCAGGAATTCTCTTCACCCAACATGCAATTTATTTACAGATGCTGACAACAAGGCAGGTTGGTGGTATGAACCACAAAATAAGAAAGCTGCAAAATGCAAACTTACAACTGTTTAAAAGAACCCAAGGAAACTCAAAACATGTCAAACCCATGGCTCTTAGTCTACTAGCCAGCACTTAATCCTACAGTGCCATCTCAAACTCTCCCTCAGGATCATCAACCAGGCTTATAAAACTTAAACCTCTTCACAGAACAAACCAAGTAAGCAATAATCTGTTAACTGTCATAATAGATGTTTTGCAGAAAAGCGTGGCAAAGACGTTTCCATATTTCCTATGAATTTTACTTTTATGTGCACCGGGATAGAATATGTGAAGTAAAATGGATTTGTTGTACAGGGTGTGCATGTGTGGCTGCATGAGGTTTGGTGTTGTAGGTAAATGCAGTGCAACTCATGCCACCATAGTAAACACATATACTTGGCGAGACCCTGCTAAGATTTCACAACTGTGTAATTCTATTTCATATTTTCTGACAGCCTCAAAGTTTCCGAGTACTAGAATCTGTAGCAATATAGTTTTTGTGGCTTATTGTAGTGCGGCAGTTTCTGTTTTATCCCGGCGTTGCGGAGAGGGGTGTTCGAGTTATCTCCACCAGTGAGAGTATAGCGCCTCCGGTCCTGGGGTAAGCCGTTAAAACTACTTTTATTAGCATTCACAATTACCGGAGGCTAAGGTTATATTTATCTGTTGTTTTAGGGTTTGATTGCTGCCTTCACATCTCTGTGGCAAACTGCCCGACCTCACTCGGAAAGAGTGAAACACCTTCCCAGCTGCTGTTGTGAGGGCTCCTCCTCGGTGGAGCCTGCTGTCTTGTCTTGTCTTGTCGTGAAACTGTTTTTATTAAGTAGGCTTACCTTTTTCTGGTTCACCTGGTTTTATTTTATTCTGGATTGCTGCTTGTACCCACGCCTCTGTGATCGGGCTGGAGCGATCCTCTGCCCGAGTGTCGTGCTGGGAACCTTAAACTGCCTCAGTTGCCGATCTCAGCCTGTGGGGAGCCAGACCGGCTTGTGATCGAGGCCTGGCAATTACCACCAGCACGAGTTGTAGTTGACTCGTGGGGCGTAAGCCTTCCAGTGTGGTGTGTGTGTGTGTGACTTCTTTTATTAAAGTTGGTTTTAGTTTTTATGATCTGTAGCGAGCCTGACGCTCAGTGTCCTTTTATTCTTTTAACGTATTTCTCTGTGTTTTATTTCAGTGAACGGAGGACGTGCCAGGGGCCTGGGACCTCAGGTGGTGGGTCGTTTTCACACTTTCTTTTGTACAGCACCGGGTGGGCTGCAGTGATTTTCTTTTTGTATGATTTTCTTTTGGGTCTACGGCTGCTGGTAAGTCCAAGTTCCACGATTGTTTTATTTTCACTTTAGGACACTGTCAACAACGATGCTACATTTTGCTTTCTAATATTTCATTTATTTTAACCATAAATAAAACTGTATTAATATTGGAGCCAACCTGCCTCGGTGTGCATCCTTGAATGTGTGCGGCCTCTTTTTATTCCTTTTATCTATTTTTCTTTAATATATATTTCCTGGGGGTGAAATTCCCCTAGGTGGCGTTGTCAGAATAATAAAAGAATAAAATATCCCTTAAAGAAAGTGTCATTTGCTGTTTGTGTCAGTGCCACAAAACACCTCAAATGGGATGTTCCAAGCCAAGTTAACGTTGTGCTTGTATTCATCCATCCAGATCTCTGCAACTCTGAGGGCATTTCTCTTCATGGCAGGACCCAGGTCAGGCATGTAGGGCTTGTGGGCCCTCTCGATGTGGGCGATCTTGGAACATGGAACAACTTCAACACTGCCTCCACATGTCCATACCTACATGAACAAAGTGTAACTTAAAAATTATAAAATTGCACTTTGCAAGGATAAAAAATGCAACTACAACTATAGTCCACAATACACACATTTTCTTAAAAAGTAGATGACAAATACAGAAATCATAGTTACTTTACCATGAAAGAGAACTTCATGACTCTATGATCTTTACTCACACGAATTCCCAGCTCAACATTTTCTCCACCATACACTTTCATTCCTTCATCAAGGACTCCAATTTCCCCCAGAAACTTTCTATCAGCAACCAGGATCCCCATGACAGATGGACTCCTAAAGTCAAAGAAGAGAACCATATTTTACAGCTGTATACTGATATAACAATATTTAATAAACCAGTTAGATTGAAAAAAATAAAGTTAATAAGGCTGTTGCATTGGCTAAATGCTGATTTCAGTTGAACTTACTTGCCAGGCAGTGAACCGTCATTAAGTTTGTAATACTCGGGTGTAAAACTCTCATACATGCACCACAGAGCCCAGTCGAAGGCGTGTGCACTGGGATGATATTTAATAACTTTGAGATCATCAAAGTTGACTCTATCAAACACCGGGGAAACCACCACAGTTCGGTCAGCTTTAATCTGTGTCAGCAGAGGTTCAGCCCTGTATGAAGGAGGGGAACAAAGGAAATGGTTCATACAATTTCACACAATAAATTTTCTATAATGCTGGTGAGATGTCTTGTTCAATACTTTTCAATCACGTCATGATGCTTGATTGTGACTTCTGGATTGGCAGCTAGTAAATATTGGTAGTAAGTGGAAGTCACCTGCACTTGATGTCTTTTACAATTAAAATACTACACCCATGTTCAGCTTTTAAATTATGCAAAAGCTTGGAACACTTGGTCACTTTGTTGTTCTAGAAATCAGTCTTTGACGTAAACCTACGCATACAGATTAGTATTTAAGGTTTGACTCTCATCATCCACTGGAGCACAAACTGGGTGTCATCAAAATGCTACAACACAGAGTGAACACCAGTTTTCACAGATATGTATATAAGCCGTCCAAACAAGAAAAGTAGTCACAAACATGTGACATGATGATCTTCACTCAACTTTTGATGGTTTGTTTGAATTGGCAGATGTGAACAGGAAAGGAAAATGAGAGGCCTGCACATAAAACAACATGTTAACAGCCTGTATTGACTTACAATAATCTGCATGCCCTATAATTACTTTTTTTGGTCACAGATGTTCTTTCTTTATAACCAGCCTACCATTAGAACTATTGTCGTCCACCATTATTATCTCCTTCAGCAGGTTTTTAGGAGTGCGGTCGATGATGCTGCGCAGGGCTCTTTGGAGAACAGACAGGGCTTCATCCAGGTAGATGAGCACCACACTGAGACTCGGCAGGTCCTTGGGGTAACTCTTTTTCAAACACCTATTTATTAAAAAGATCAGAAATTTGAAATATTTTAGCAAGAAATAGACTGGATAGAGTATTTTTTTTTCTTTGAATGTACAGGAGAGAGAATGAAAGATTAAAATCATGAAAAGTTGTAAAAGTTGTACCGAGGATCTCTGGTATCTGGAAGAGGACGATCCAGAGGGAGGCGATCGCTCAGAAAAACATTGTACCCATACTTCTCATACAGGCTCTGAGCCTCTCTTTGGTCACACTCAGAGAGATCCTCCCCCCATGTCTTGAACAAGGCCGAGTTAGGGAACAGTTTTTCAGACTTTTTCATTTGAGTCTCCTCGTTTTGGGTTTGGATATTTGTATCATCCTCTGTCTGCTTCAATGTCTGCTTTTGGACTGTTGGACCTCTGCAGATTTTCTTTGCTCGTCTCTGTGCTCTCCCAGCATTTTTTGCATGACATCCTGTCTTTGCTCAAAACGTCTGAGTGCATCGTCTTCAGTTGAAAACGATATCAAAAATTGGAGACATCAACAAAGTTTTAAAATTACAGTATAAAACACATTTATAGAAGACGGATAGAGACCTGTGTTGTAATTTGATTTCATCTGTCATTAACAAACTGCATTACCATATGTATCTTTATTTGGTTTAAAGTCCCATGGTTACCATGCAATAATAATAATAATAATAATGAGGAACATTAACCCCTGACTTAAATCACTGAGATTACTGATCATTTCCTCCAGATCGGAAGAGCTCTTCAAATGCCGTGTGTCCATCTCTTTATCAGTCTCCTCTCTATGTCAGGGCGACCGTGGCTCAGGGGGTTGGGAAGCGTATCTGTAACCGGAAGGTCGCCGGTTCGATCCCTGGGCTCTCTGTCCTGGTCGTTGTGTCCTTGGGCAAGACACTTTACCCTACCGCCTACTGGTGTTGGCCAGAGGGGCCGATGGCGCGATATGGCAGCCTGGCTTCTGTCAGTCTGCCCCAGGGCAGCTGTGGCTACAACCGTAGCTGCCTCCACCAGTGTGATGAATGTGAGAGTGAATGAATATGCATGAAAGCGCTTTGGGTGCCTTGAAAAGCGCTATATCAATCCACTCCATTATTATTATTATTATGTTGGTTTCCATTCTTCAGAAAGCCAAAGTACAGCATGACCCCTATAGTGCCCACCAGTGTTGGTCAAGTTACTTGAAAAAAGTAATCAGTAACTAATTACTGATTACTTCCCCCAAAAAATTAATCCCGTTACTTTACTGATTACTTATTTTCAAAAGTAATTAATTACTTAGTTACTTAGTTACTTTTTAAAAACACGATTTACAACCTGAAAGGTGATAAAGCGATAGATCTTTCAGCCCAATTCTACTTTTTCTGCATAATCCATCATACAAAATGTAATCAAATGGAAAAGTCTCTTTTTTTAAACTTGTTTTATTAGTTTTAATCTTTTAACTTTATGCATCAAGCAAAAATTTAATTATATGCAACATTCTCTGACTTGGAAGAAATTTGTTTAACATTTAAACCTATTTTCTGCACATTCCAGCACATAAAATAAAATATTTTTTGTGTTTACACTCAGTCTTTCAAATAGATGCAAGTAAAACACAGCAGAAAATAAATAAAGTCAAAGACTCAGCGGTCCTGTTGCTCTATTTTCACCTGTAAAGCAGGAGTGGGGTAGGCGGAGGTTACCCTGGTGCAGGTGTGCCGCGGTCAGTGGAAGAATCCGCGAGTTTCTCTGTGAGTTTCCCATTACGTCGTAGCTACTCGGTGCTTGTTGGAAGTTTAGGGGTTTTTTCGCTGTAAAAAGAAGTTTTCTTCCCACGCACAGCGGACACTCATGTTTTTGTCACTTTTTATGGAATCAAACTCAAAGTAAGGTCAGTACTTCCACGCTTTAAACGCTGCACGCTCATACTCTCTCTGCACTCGATATGTGATCCATTGTTGATCTGCACACAGCTGTTGTCACGAACGTCGCACTCGCTTACGTCACTGTCATGAGACATTCTCGCAAAAAATCACGGTTTTAGTAACGCAGTAACGCAGCGTTCCTACGGGAAAGTAAGTTTTTGTGATAGTAATCCCTTACTTTACTCGTTACTTTAAAAAAGTAACGCGTTACTGCCCATCTCTGGTGCCCACTAATAACAATAGTCGCTTTGTCAATGTTACCCTTATTCTGATAACACCGACTTTCTAGCCAGATAATAACACGTCAGAGGACACACAAAAACACACACAGTACTGACCTAACTGACACTGTAACTCCTGATGTGAATGTCATAAAATCGTTAGCTGAGCAGACGCGTCAACATCCCTCCACTCCCAAAAAAGTGACTGTGACCCCTCACATATTTTCTCTGCTGAAAAGCAAAACTGAAATGTCTGAACAGCCTAAAATTAGCTTGAAACTGGTCATAAAAGAGTCATTAATGTAATGGACAAAAAATATATACTGTTTTTAAATCTCTTTTCAAAATGTTCAGTTATTTGTTCATGATTATGTCATTCAGCCTGAACTGTTTAAACTCCTGGAATCATGCAGATGCTTCACAGGTGGAAAATGTGCAGCCCAGTTATTTGTAGTGAGTACTGTAGGAATTAAAACATTATTAGTGGTATTTAGAAATAGTTTTGATCTTTATTTTGTTTTAATCTGTGAAAAGTGTTCATAAGATCAAACTTGAGCACACTTGAATATAACAGATGTTCATGTTAAAGACTGCACTAAAAACTTGTGATGCTCGATCCTCCAGCTCTGTCCACTGCACTGCTGAATGATGAGTTTATAGTAAAAGTTTGCTCCCTGGGCGATTTCAAGGCATCTGTTTGTTGCTTTGTTTATGATTGCTTGGCCCTGCCACAGGTTGACAGACGTTATGAGACAGTGCACAGCAAGTGTTTCTAAAAACAATATGTCTAGGCCAAGCTCTTGTTTGAAGTCCCAGTGCATGTGCAGTTCATTCGTTTTTGCCAGTGGACAGTCCTGCAGGGTGGGAGAACTTCCAGAGCCTGGATCAACCAGGCAGCGATCACTGTTATAATTGTGAGATGCAATCCCCCCAATGATTATTTCACCATCTGTGTTGTAGCAGCAGTGCTGTTAAAAGGAAAAGTAATAACTTCAGATTATTTTTTAGTCATATTTATTATCCTGGTAGTTTGGTTGTCTACATTATGTGTGGTTGTTGAAAGTGGCATCCATGCAGGATGGGGATATTTCCTGGAACAGGTCCTTGGTCCACACAGTGGCTCTTAAGAAGGTCGTTCTGTAACTGGAGTGTCAAACTTATTTGCTTTTTATTGAATCATATACTCATGTGGTATGTGATTGAGTGATTGAGTTTCTAAAAAATATTATATGATTTTATTTCATCAGGGCAGCCCCTCCATGAACTGCTCCAGGACTATATTTATCAGAATGCGTGCCTCCAGAAAAACCTGAGGGTCATTGTCCTCCCTCATCTGGTCCATTGCCACCGCCAGCAGAGAGCAGGGAGGCGATATGGTGACCTGACGAGCCACTTCAGCACCTACGTCTGCCACTCTGCCTGGTCCTGCAGCTTGACACCCAGAGCGATCAACCGGACAAGTGCTGTGTATGACAGGCAGGAATGGTGGATCCAAAGTGCGGACTCCAGAAGGCGAAAAATGCACTCACAACAGCTTTGTTACTGAACATGAAAATAACTAAACTGAAAACAGAAATAAACTAAATAGGCAGACATTGTTTTCAAACCTTTTCCACCACAATTAACAGGTTGTGAAAGGACAGTCTTAGCGGTCTCTGAATTTACTAGATGAGGAATTTACTAGACGAGGCTTAGCTAAGATAGGTTTTTAATTGTTTCCACCGTGACGAGCAGTCTGAGGAAAAACAGTTCAAGCAAACAGACTCGGGGATGAGAGAACCTCAATTAACAAAACCTGAATTGATGGTCTTTGAAAAATTATTATCTTTTACCTGCTCGAGAGGTGCAGAACAACACTGAGACAGGGAAGGCATATAAACAAAACCTACAATTGGAAATCAGGAGATACTAAAGGGAGCTAGAAATACAGAAACTAAATAATAGAAACACTAAGTCACAGAATATAGACAAACAAAATCAAAACCACTGTGTCACCAGACCCAGGTACCATAACACTGGGCCGCCACGTGCTCACGTTCCATGGCCGCCATCTCAGCCAGTTTTCTTTATTTATCGACATCAACGTTCGGGCCCAATACCTCATCAGCACGATCATCTTAATTTAAAATGCCAGAGACCATTTTCTACCTTCACACAAGGCCCATTATGCATGTGCGTGGGTAATTCTTCCAAAAATATCCCATAGAAAGCATTATTAAAATCATTTCTGCTAAAATGTGAGAAATTTGTGACAAATTGCAAAACACCTGGCTATGTCTTCATTAAAACCTCTGTAACTTTGCTCTGTTTCACTTCAGCAGCATCGATTTTTGCACAGATAATGTTCGTTTGTTGAACGTTTGTTCTGAAATTTATTGTGTACTGCACCATATTTTCAAAGGGGTTACATGCGATAAAAATACAAAAACAAAATACCGGTAGGCGATGAAAGAAAATCTTCGTATTTTTCTATGTTCCAGACTCAGTTACTTTGACACAGTAACGTCTGCTGTAATATTTACACCTCTGTTGAAGCGTTGGCTTTATTTTGATACCAAGACTGTTTGCACAGAGTTTTAGTTGCAAAGAAATACTAATGACAGAACTTCATTTATCACACTGATGCTCGGCAGGTCTTTGGGATATTTCTGTGCCAGACATCTGTGAGCTGGTATGTACTGTGAGGAAAACCTTTGCACTTCTAAGACAAAGGACGACAACACTGACAGTTACAGCAACAAAATAAAAAACCCTGTAAACATCACGGATCTCATTAATAAAATGTACATGTTTTCTCTGTTATGGTATCTGGATGCTTCCTTCCAAGTGGCAGCTGGTTACTCAGTAAGCCACGGTATCCATATATCTGAAACAGACCATCGGCTTCCAGCTGCTCTTGTTCTGTCAGGCCATCGCCCCACTTGGTAAACAGGATGGAGTTTGGGTATAACTTTGGCATAACGATCTTCTCTTCTTCTTTGTCCACATTTTGTAAAATGAGATGAGACGAGAACTGTTATTCATGGTTGGGGCAAAAGAAGAAGAAATTGGCTAGAAGGATTGTTTCGACTTATCAAGTGCTCTTCAAAAACCTGTCATACAGATCAAATCTAGCATGCATCTTTCCCCTTTGGATTCCCCACCACAACACACACACACACTGCAACCTTTTGAACAGGCTTTAAAACTCAAACTGTATAATAAAGCATGTCTTATCTTAAAGTTTAAACATTTCTGAAAGAAAAAAAACTCACACAGCTATTAAATAGTCTTTTACTGACGTAAAGG